TCCGTAAATTCATTCCGCATTGTCATAATTCGATCCAACTCTAGTCGTCCTTGGCCTTTATCTGTCTGCCAGATTACCCAAAGGTAATCCCATATCCATGTTTTTAGTTTCCTTCTGAACAAGAGGAGGGATGTCGATGACCTAATTTCCCCAGGGAGCGAATTCCACAGGTGAGGGGCTACCACTGAGAAGGCCCTGCTCCTCGTCCCCGCCAGTCTCACTTGTGATAAAGGCGGGGCCGAGAGCAGGGCCTCCCCAGAGGATCTTAAACTCCGAGGCGGGACGTAGAAGGAGATGCGTTCGGACAGGTACGCTGGGCCGGAGCCGTATAGGGTTTTGTAGGTCAAAACCAGCACTTTGAATTGTGCTCGGAACTGGATCGGCAGCCAGTGGAGCTGACATAACAGAGGGGTGGTATGTTCTCTGTATGACACTCCGGTGAGTAGTCTGGCTGCCGCCCGTTGGACTAACGGAAGTTTCCGAACAGTCTTCCAAACAGTCTACCAAACAGTGTTGCGCCAACACAACTAGAATATGATTTCCTCTGGAAAGCAAAGGGGGTGGGGGAAGTTAGCAGTATCAGTTCCTAAGACCATTGAAAATATATGTTTTCCAATGATCTTGGGTGACCCCTGTGAAAGGCTTGTTTGACCCCCAAAGGGGTCGCAACCCACAGGTTGAGAACTGCTGCCTTAGAAGCTGACAAAGTGAATCAAGTTCCCTTCTATAGGTTCACTGAGAGCACTGCCACTTTATTTTAATGGGTTTCTATATTTATTCATCCATTGAATGGGTGCCAGAACATGACAGTCAATTCCAGCACACATGCACACACAACTCCCAGTCCCTGCGTAGTATTCATTTATTTATCGTGTCAGGAGCAAACCAAACAGTTGTATTGCATTTTTAACAAACAAACAAACAAACAAACAAAACACAAAGTTTGCAAGCTTGGTAGTTGATTAAATGTCCTTTGACCAGTATGTGGCCACTTGGAGTGCCTCTGGTGTTACTATAAGAAGGTCCTCCATTGTTTTATTTATTTATGTATTTATTTATTTCGAGGTTTTATATACTGACCCTCTCACCTTCAAAGAGGGATTCGGACTGGTTCACAACATGTGTTAACATACAAAGAATATACAATAACAACACAATGCCACTTCATAACACGATTAAAATATCAGCACTATACAGATTAAAATATTATCATCACAGTTAAAAGAGCCAAATCGTCCGACACCATCACAATCCCATTCGTCATCCTCCTTTCATGTGGGCAAAGAATTAAATCAGTTGTCAAATGCCGCGTTCCACAACCAGGTCTTTGTTAGTTTCCTGAACGTCATGAGGGAGGGGGCAGTTCTGATCTCTAATGGCAGGAAGTTCCAAAGTCGAGGGGCCACCATCGAGAAGGCCCTGTCCCTCGTCCCCACCAGCCGTGCTTGTGCAGGCGGAGGGACCGAGAGCAGGGCCCCTCCAGACGATCTTAGTGGTCTTGATGGTTCGTAGGGGAGAATACGTTCGGAGAGGTAAACAGGGCCAGAGTCGTGTAGGGCTTTATAGGTTAACACCAGCACATTGAATTGTGCTCGGAAGCTAATCGGCAGCCAGTGGAGTTCGAGTAACAGCGGAGTGGTGTGCTCCCTATACCCCGCACCCGTTAGTAATCTGGCTGCCGCGCATTGTACTTGCTGCAGCTTCTGGGCAGTCTTCAGAGGCAACCCCATTGTGCATGTGGCAGGGCTCAGGTTGCATTGCAGCAGGGGGTCATAGAATCATAGAATCATAGAATCAAAGAGTTGGAAGAGACCTCATGGGCCATCCAGTCCAACCCCATCCAAGAAGCAGGAATATTGCATTCAAATCACCCCTGACAGATGGCCATCCAGCCTCTGTTTAAAAGCTTCCAAAGAAGGAGCCTCCACCACACTCCGGGGCAGAGAGTTCCACTGCTGAACGGCTCTCACAGTCAGGAAGTTTTTCCTCATGTTCAGATGGAATCTCCTTCTCCTTTCTTGTAGTTTGAAGCCTAGTCTCCAAGGAAGCAGAAAACAAGCTTGCTCCCTCCTCCCTGTGGCTTCCTCTCACATATTTATACATGGCTATCATATCTCCTCTCAGCCTTCTCTTCTTCAGGTAAACATGCCCAGTTCCCTAAGCCGCTCCTCATAGGGCTTGTTCTCCAGACCCTTGATCATTTTAGTCGCCCTCCTCTGGACACATTCCAGCTTGTCAATATCTCTCTTGAATTGTGGTGCCCAGAACTGGACACAATATTCCAACTGTGGTCTAACCAAAGCAGAATAGAGGGGTAGCATGACTTCCCTAGATCTAGACACTATGCTCCTATTGATGCAGGCCAATCCCATTGGCTTTTTTTGCCGCCACATCACATTGTTGGCTCATGTTTAACTTGTTGTCCACGAGGACTCCAAGATCTTTTTCACACGTACTGCTCTCGAGCCAGGCGTCACCCATTCTGTATCTTTGCATTTCATTTTTTCTGCCAAAGTGGAGTATCTTGCATTTGTCACTGTTGAACTTCATTTTGTTAGTTTTGGCCCATCTCTCTAATCTGTCAAGATCGTTTTGAATTCTGCTCCTGTCCTCTGGAGTATTGGCTATCCCTCCCAATTTGGTGTCGTCTGCAAACTTGATGATCATGCCTTCTAGCCCTTCATCTAAGTCATTAATAAAGATGTTGAACAGGACCGGGCCCAGGACGGAACTGGGAGAATACGTTCGGAGAGGTAAACAGGGCCGGAGTCGTTTAGGGCTTTATAGGTTAACACCAGCACTTTGAATTGTGCTCGGAAGCTAATCGGCAGCCAGTGGAGTTCGAGTAACAGCGGAGTGGTGTGCTCCCTATACCCCGCACCCGTTAGTAATCTGGCTGCCGCGCGTTGTACTTGCTGCAGTTTCCGGGCAGTCTTCAGAGGCAACCCCATTGTGCATGTGGCAGGGCTCAGGTTGCATTGCAGCAGGGGGTCTGTAGTTTGCTCTTCTCCACACTCGCATGTCGAGGATTCCACTTTGTAGCCCCATTTCTTTAGGTTGGCTCTGCATCTCGTGGTACCAGAGCGCAGCCCTGCATAGTGAAATGTGAGGACTGTTATGCTGTACTGAAGCGTTATTGCCAAAAGAAATTCTCCAACTCGCTTTTGTCTGGGTTGTTGAGGACCTGACAGGGTAAATACTGCTTTGCTGACGAGCAGACAGCAGGCACCAAAGGCCCTGAAACTGGCCCAAATCAGAAAGCGGCGATTGAAGTGGCAGCTCAGGAACAGATGAGCGCTCAGATGAGAGAGGCCTGCAACTTTCATAGTTCCTTCAAGGCCTCAGGATATCCGGATGAGGTATTAGAGGAAGCAATTCAGGAAGAAAAGAAACAAATCACCACCTCCGGATCTTGGCTGACCCGTAGGGCTGGACCGCCGCAATGAGCAGAAAGGACAGCCTGCAGCCCGCAGAGATCCAAGGAGTGCTTATTGTACCGGCTGCTTTCCGGGGAGAGCAAAGCTGGTCTCTTTTTAACCCTTCTCCATGAGAGCCGAGTGGCTGCTTTTCTTCTCCGAGGCAAATGTTCTCGCCGAGAGCTGCCATGCATTTGCGGAAGCGCAGAGAGGTTGGCCCTCGCACTGGCGGTGGGGAGCTGATGATTCATGGTTATCCTTTCCGTCATTCTGACCCCTTCCCAACCCTCCCTGGCTGCCTAATGAGACGTCCATAATAGGAAAAGTCCCAATGGGTTTACCTCTACCTGGAGCCAATCGAGCTTCACGGACAGGTGGAAAGGCTACAAGGAAAGTTATTACTCCCGAGCTGCGGAGATTGATGTCCTTTTTATTTCACTTTTAAACTGTTTTATTTCAATACCGTAACTGTATGGAATAGCTGTTGGGACTGTATGATTTCCATTCTGGCATTCCCCTTGCTGGTTTAATCCAAACTAATATTGTATTTTTTTATGAATGTATGTGTCATCTGTATTGTCGAAGGCTTTCATGGCTGGAATCACTAGGTTCTTGTGGGTTTTTTGGGCTATAGGGCCATGTTCTAGAGGCATTTTCTCCTGACGTTTCGCCTGAATCTATGGCAAGCATCCTCAGAGGTAGTGAGGTCTGTTGGAAATAGGAAAATGGGTTTATATATCTGTGGAATGGCTGGGGTGGGGCAAGGAGCTCTTCCCTGCTGAGCTAGGTGTGAATGTTTCAGCTGATCACCTTCATTAGCATTTGAAGGCCTGCCTGAGCCTGGGAAAATCTCTTGCTGGGAGGTGTTAATCTGTGCCTGGTTGTTTCCTCTCTGTGTTTTGCTGTTGTAATTTTAGAGTTTTTTAATACTGGTAGCCAGATTTTGTTCATTTTCATGGTCTCTTCCTTTCTGTTGAAATTCCAACAACCACCATGTCAGACTACACAGAGAAGCCATTGAAATCCACAAGCATGTGGACAATTTCAACAGAAAGGAAGAGACCATGAAAATGAACAAAATCTGGCTACCAGTATTAAAAAACTCTAAAATTACAACAGCAAAACAACAGAGAGGAAACAACCAGGCACAGATTAACACCTCCCAGCAAGAGATTTTCCCAGGCTCAGGCAGGCCTTCAAATGTCGCCCGTATGGGCTGAGAATGGCGGTTAATAAGTGCATCAAATAAAATAAATAAACAAATAAATGCTAATGAAGGTGATCAGCTGAAACATTCACACCTAGCTCCAGCAGGGAAGAGCTCTTTGCCCCACCCCAGCCATTCCACAGATATATAAACCCATTGTCCTAATTCCAACAGACCCCACTACCTCTGAGGATGCTTGCCATAGATGCAGGCGAAATGTCAGGAGAAATGCCTCTAGAACATGGCTCTATAGCCCGAAAAAACCCACAAGAACCTATGTGTCATCTGTTTTGTAAGCTTCGTCCAAAAGAAGAAAAACCTTTGCTGAAAATTGTCAAGTGATAGGTCTGTCCCTCTCTTCTTTCGTTTTCATATAGGTTTTGGCTTTGTAACTTTCGAGAATGAAGATGTGGTGGAAAAAGTCTGTGAAATCCATTTTCATGAAATCAATAATAAAATGGTAAGTGTTCACAGCCAGCACGCCTGGTTTATTTTTTATTTTTATTTTTTAAAGGAAAATTAGTCTCTTTCTCCCACAGACATGGTAGAATGTCCCCCGATTATCCTTGAGGAGGACTGTTGTGATGTTTATTCATGAATCAATGTCTCAAAATTTTTAAAATGTATACGATATGGTGCATGCAACAACAAAAACAACAACAACAATAACTTTATTTATATCCCGCCACCATCTCCCCAAGGGGACTCAGAGCGGCTTACATGAGGCCAAGCCCAACAAGACTTCAATAAAACAATAGCTTGGACATCCATTCCTTATTTATTTGTTATTTATTTATTTATGACATTTCTGCCCCACCTTTCTCATCTCGGAGGGGGCTAAAAAAGTCAATGGGATTTTGTCCTGCATCAATAGGAGTCTAGTGTCTAGATCCAGGGAAGTCCTGCTTGGTCAGACCACACCTGAAATCTCACTGTGTCCAATTCTGGGCACCTTACTTACTTAGGCGATCCCTCGTTGGACGAGTAAGATGGTCTTCCATTATGGGTTTCCTTGTGGGTCCGCATGTGGCTGTGGAGCCCTATTCTTGCTCTGTATCTTCTTCCGCAGTGTGGGCATTGGTTTCCAGGTGGAAGGCGGTCCCGGTTGGGGTTGGCTTGACGCGCCTTCCTCCTGGCACGTTTCTCTCTTTCACCCTCCACTCGTGCCTCCTCAAATTCTGCAGCACTGCTGGTCACAGCTGACCTCCAGCTGGAGCGCTCAAGGGCCAGGGCTTCCCAGTTCTCAGTGTCTATGCCAGAGTTTTTAAGGTTGGCTTTGAGCCCATCTTTAAATCTCTTTTCCTGTCCACCAACGTTCCGTTTTCCGTTCTTAAGTTCGGAGTAGAGCAACTGCTTTGGGAGACGGTGGTCAGGCATCCGGACAACGTGGCCGGCCCAGCGGAGGTGATGTTGGAGGACCATCGCTTCAATGCTGGTGGTCTTTGCTTCTTCCAGCACACTGACGTTTGTCCGCTTGTCTTCCCAGGAGATTTGCAGGATTTTCCGGAGGCAGCGCTGATGGAAACGTTCCAGGAGTTGCATGTGACGTCTGTAGACAGTCCACGTCTTGCTATAGCAGGGTTGGGAGGAAATAGCTTTATAAACAAGCACCTTGGTATCCCTACGGATGTCCCGGTCCTCAAACACTCTCTGCTTCATTGGGAAAAATGCTGCACTCGCAGAGCTCAGGCGGTGTTGTATTTCAGTGTCGATGTTGACTTTGGTGGAGAGGTGGCTGCCAAGGTAGCGGAAATGGTCAACATTTTCTAATGTTACACCATTAAGCTGTATCTCTGGCATTGGGGAGGGGATGGCTGGTGACTGCTGGAACAGCACCTTGGTTTTCTCGATGTTCAGTGACAGGCCAAGCTTCGTGTATGCTTCTGCAAAGGTGTTTAGAGTGGCTTGTAGATCTTCTTTTGTATGCGCACAGATGGCATTGTCATCAGCATACTGGAGTTCTATGACAGATGTTGTTGTAACTTTGGTTTTGGCTTTCAGTCTCCTGAGGTTAAATAGCTTGCCATCTGTCCGATAGATGATTTCCACTCCGGTGGGAAGCTTCCCATCAACAAGGTGAAGTATCATAGCGATGAAGATGGAGAATAGAGTTGGGGCAATAACACATCCCTGTTTGACACCTGATTCCACTTAAATGGGTCACTTTGGGAGCCATTGCTGTCCAAGACTGTTGCCATCATGTCATCATGGAGGAGCCGCAGGATGTTCACAAATTTGTTTGGGCACCCGATTTTTTGGAGGATGGTCCAGAGAGCACTGCGATTCACTGTGTTAAATGCCTTTGCAAGGTCGATGAATGCCATGTATAGAGGTTGGTTTTGTTCCCTGCATTTTAGTTGGAGCTGTCTGGGCACCACAACTGAAGGGAGATATTGACAAGCTGGAATGTGTCCAGAGGAGGGCGACTAAAAGGATCAAGGGCCTGGAGAACAAGCCATCCTGCTCAAGTGAAGGCTTTCATCCGGGGACAATTTCATCCTACATTTTCTGTTTTTCCTCCACCACAGACATCCCAGTGTTTCTGACTCTCCCCATTGGTGTGGAATTTGCATGACCCCACCCACTACCTCTCCTTTAACCCTTTCCTATTCTTTTCTATGGCACACGGCAAACAGAGGAATTGATCAACAGCTGAACATACTAGAGAGATTTGGGGATAATTCACCTTGATTTAAAGGAGTTGTAGGTCCTGGGATGTATAGTTCACCTGCAGTCTAAGAGCACTCTGAACTCCAGTAACGATGGACCTGGAAGTAATTTGGCACACAGAACCCCCATCACAAAAAAAATTAAAAAATACTGGGAGGTCTTTGGAGGGATTTATAAGAGTTGTGGTGCACCTACACCCAGAGCGCACTATAAATTTCAAACAGTGATGGATCTGGACCAAACTTGGCATGCATAGCTTATAAGCCCAAATTTGAATACTGATGAGTTTTGAGAAGAATTGGCCTGGACATTTTGGAGTTGTAGGTATTGGGATTTATAGTTCACCCGCAATCAGTGAGCACTCTAAACACCACCAAAAATGGAATTAGACCAAACTTGACACACACAGCCCCCATGACCAGCAAAAAATACTGGAGGTCTTTGGGGAAAATTTTGGGGGGAGTTGTAGTTCACCTACATTTAGAGCACTGCGAACCCAATCACTGATGGATCTGGACCAAACTTGGGACATATACCTGATAGGCAAAAAATTGCTTACTGACTAGGAAAATTGGGTTTATATAGTTCCAACAGACCTCACAACCTCTGAGGATGCTTGCCATAGATGCAGGCAAAATGTCAGGAGAGAATGCTTCTAGAACATGACCATATAGCCCAAAAAACCTACAACAACCCAATCGTATGACCTTTCTGGCATTGGAGATTGAAATGGGAGGAAGAGAGATCATGTGGCCGAAGTTTGCCATTTGCTGTGTTTTGCAAACTAGATGAATAAAAAACCACACTGTGTTTGAAGTCTGCATGTGAGAGCAAATGGTTTTAATTAGGACTTATCCATAACGCGGTTGCGTTGTGTGCGCGCAATGCTGACCTTTGTTTTTCCAGATAGAAGAGTCAAATGGAGCATGAAGGACTGCATGCTTTGTTTCTTTTAGATTGCAGTCAGCTTCTAGTTTCACTGGGGAAGGTCAAGCATTTTGTGTGGAAAACGCATAGAAAGAATTTGCTGCTAAAGCTGGAATGTGCCCAGAGGAGGGCGACTAAAATGATCAGGGGTCTGAAGAACAAGCCCTATGAGGAGCGGCTTAAAGAGCTGGGCATGTTTAGCCTGAAGAAGAGAAGGCTGAAAGGAGATATGATAGCCATGTATAAATATGTGAGAGGAAGTCATATAGGGTGGAGGGAGCAAGCTTGTTTTCTGCTGCCTGGAGACTAGGACGTGGAACAATGGCTTCAACTACGAGAGGAGATTCCATCTGAACACGAGGAAGAACTTTGACTGTGAGAGCTGTTCAGCAGTGGAACTCTCTGCCCCGGAGTGTGGTGGAGGCTCCTTCTTTGGAAGCTTTTAAACAGAGGCTGGATGGCCATCTGTCAGGGGTGATTTGAATGCAATATTCCTGCTTCTTGGCAGGGGGTTGGACTGGATGGCCCATGAGGTCTCTTCCAACTCTTTGATTCTATGATTCTATGATTCTATGATACAAGAAAGGAGATTCCATCTGAACATGAGGAAGAACTTCCTGACTGTGAGAGCCGTTCAGCAGTGGAACTCTCTGCCCCGGAGTGTGGTGGAGGCTCCTTCTTTGGAAGCTTTTAAACAGAGGCTGGATGGCCATCTGTCAGGGGTGCTTTGAATGCAATATTCCTGCTTCTTGGCAGGGGGTTGGTACTGGATGGCCCATGAGGTCTCTTCCAACTCTATGATTCTATGATACAAGAAAGGAGATTCCATCTGAACATTAGGAAAAACTTCCTGACTGTGAGAGCCGTTCAGCAGTGGAACTCTTTGCCCCAGAGTGTGGTGGAGGCTTTTAAACAGAGGCTGGATGGCAATCTGTCGGGGGTGCTTTGAATGCAGTTTTCTTGCTTCTTGGCAGAAAAGGGTTGGACTGGATGACCCACCAAGTCTCTTCCAACTCTAGGATTCTATGATCACAGGAACCTCCCCATATGCATCCCAGGAAGCTCACTGTGCATAGTGGTTAGAGCCCTAGGCTTTGGCCAGGGAAGAGCTTGGAAATGTTATTGCATGGTCTACTGTTTCTAGTAACCATGACTAGTGACACTGCTAGTTAGCAGCATTGTGAAGGTAATGCCCCCAAACCTCTCTGACCTCTTGTGCAAAGAGACCTCTCTGTCCAGACACAAGATCACATGACCATGTCTATGTCACAGGGTTGACTCCATTGATCTCAGTTCTTTGCAAAAAAATATATCAACTAACCAACATTTGTCTTGTACTTTGTATTTCAATCCAATTTGAAATGTATACTGGAAATGAATTCTAAGGATACCATGGACAACTCTCGATAGTAACAAGGACAGCTTATTTATTAATTTAGCGTATAGAATCATAGAATCAAAGAGTTGGAAGAGACCTCATGGGCCATCCAGTCCAACCCTATTCTGCCAAGAAGCAGGAATATTGCATTCAAATCACCCCTGACAGATGGCCATCCAGCCTCTGTTTAAAAGCTTCCAAAGAAGGAGCCTCCACCACACTCCGGGGCAGAGAGTTCCACTGCTGAACGGCTCTCACAGTCAGGAAGTTCTTCCTCATGTTCAGATGGAATCTCCTCTCTTGTAGTTTGAAGCCATTGTTCCGCGTCCTAGTCTCCAAGGAAGCAGAAAACAAGCTTGCTCCCTCCTCCCTGTGGCTTCCTCTCACATATTTATACATGGCTATCATATCTCCTCTCAGCCTTCTCTTCTTCAGGCTAAACATGCCCAGCTCCTTAAGCCGCTCCTCATAGGGCTTGGTCTCCA